AGCCAGATAGAAGAATGCTTCTGTTGCCCTCGCTACCGTTGCTCAGGGAGGTGGTGTTTGTATAGTGATGGAAAAACCGCTTTTCGTTGCTGCAGACTGTGTCTCCGCTAAGGGATTATGCCAGCACAGCTATGGTGCTGTAGCTATGCTGCTATAGTCCCCACAGTGTTGACATGGCCTGCTGTTGTGATTTTCAAAGGAACTTAAGGGAGTTAGGCACTCAAAGCTCAATGGAAGTAGAGCACCTATCTCCCTAAGGCTTGTTTGAAAATCGAACCTGAAGCATTTTAGGTTCTTGAATGAAAGGACCTATATATGGTCAAATTATTCTTATTACTCCATTCTTATTTAATATGTATTTTGTAAATGGAGAAACCAAGCCACAGAGAAAGCAACTTCCCTGGAATCTTACACTGAGTCATTGGTAGAGCTGGGATCAGAAGTCAGGAGTTCCTGTCTCCAGCTACTGTTCTCTAACACTTGATATACTGCCTTTCATTATTACTCCAAAGGGAATTCTGCACCAAAAAATTTAAAATTCTATGCAAAAAAAAAAAAAAAATTATGCACACAATATTTTAAAATTCTGAAAATTTTATTTGTCAATAAATAAATTTGGCTCCACAATAGCAGTGGGGAGTACAGGCCACTGACTGCATTGAGGTGGGAGATCACCCTGAAGTCCCCTCCTCCCCCTGTACAGGGACTCGGCAGTGAGGCTGCACCTGACCCTGACACAGTGCAAAGGCTGGGCCTGCCCCAGAAACACCCCGGGGCTCTGCACCAGGTATGAGTGGGCAGGCTCAGCCCAGCAGGATCCCAGTGTGGAGGGGCTTGGTGTGGGGTGAGAGGTTTCTGTGTTGCGCAATCTGGATGTGGGCTGCTCGGTGGGGGATCTGGATGCACAGAGGCTCATTGGGTGGTTCCAGGTGCGGGGGCAATAGGACTCTGCAGAGGATCCAGGTGAAGGTGGGTGAGGGAGGAGGCTCGGGGGGGGGGCTGGGTGCTGGGGAAGTGGGGCTTTATGGGGTGGGGGTGCAGATGCAGCTGGTTGGGGATTACTGGGGTGGGGGTCTGGATGTGGAAGGCTCATTGGAGGGGCCCAGGTGTAGGGGGGTAGAGTCTGTGAGGTTGACAGTTGGATGGGCCAGCTTACCGGGGGGAGCCCCAGCTGCTGCCAAGTGGACGCTACATGCCGGGCTCCTGCTTCTTCCTGTGATTCGCCTCTTCCCTTTTCTTCTCCAACCCTTCCCCTCACTCCCACATTCCCATCCCCCACCCTATTCCACTCCCCCTTCCCTCATTTCCCCCACCCTCTCCTTACCCAGCCCCACCGTGGGCACTCACTGTTGCACAGAATAGAAAAACAGGAAGGCTCCCAGCACACAGAGGGGGAGCAAGGCTGGCACTAGGATCCAGGAGGCAGCATTTGGCTGCAGACACAGCTTCCTTCAGCTGGGCCCCTCCAATGAGCCTTCCACATCCAGACCCCCACCCCAGTAATCCCCAACCAGCTGCAGCTGCATCTTCAGCTGAGCGCTTGCAGAATGAGGGAGGGCAGTGCCATGTAATCCCGTGTCCGCCCCGATGCCTCACCTCTGTTTGGAGGAGGGCAGTCCCCCCCCAAAAAACTGCACCCATGGTTGCCCCCACCTTTCCCCCTCCCCTCTGTGCAGCTTCCCTTTGCTTCCCTGCTGTTTTTTTTTTTTTTTCCCCCAGGGAAACAGGAATTCTGTGGGGGGGCGTTTTCTGTGGGTGTGAGGTCACGCAGAATGCCCCCAGGAGTACATTATAGAGGTTAATATGCTGGACTGGGTTTCAGAATAACAAAGTCCAATTCTCCCATTGGCTTCCTGTATAACCTTCGGCAACTCACATAATATTCCTGTGTTCCTCAGTTCACTATCTGTATAGTGGGCGTAATTGCACTTAGACTCTGGTGATGGATCAGTAGAGAGACGGTGCTGGCCAAGACTAAACTTTTTTCTTTGGGCCAATTAATCCCTGGTACAATTCCAGTGAAGTCAGTAGAGTTATACCAGGGATGAATTTGGCCCTCCGTAGTTCTTATTCCTGCTAGTATAACATATGGAAAAAGTCTCACTGAAATCTCTTACTTCATCATATTCTGCTTATTCTGTCAAACTAGAATGTGTAAATGAGATCTTTAAAAATGTTTATCATTTTGGATAATGCGTGTTGGTTATTACCAAATTAAAATTGTGATTTGCAGCTCTTACTTTAAAAGTTTATAAGAGCTTCTTACAGCCATGGATTATGGGCTACCCTTTGGACCAAGTGCATTTTTATAAAGAACTCTGTAAAACATAAAACTTTTTGTAACCTCTGATTCAGACAAGACCATCTGTGAAGAAAATAACCTGAGAATGTTGGATTTAAAACCCTACATATTTTAGGGATGACTGTGCTTTGATCTTTTTCAAATGGGTCTGGATTCAGTAGTAAAAACTTTGATCCAAATCTGGTTTAAATCAGCAACTCATTGCACCTGTGCTTACTTACATTAGGTATGAGTTTGGCCCTTTAACTTCTATTCATCCATCACATCCTCTCTTACAAGGCTTACCTTTATAGTAGTCTTTTAAAATAGGTGTTTCTGTACATGTTAGGATTTTGGGGTTCATGTTTAATAACATACAGAATGAATCAAATACGTGACCTAAAGAAATAAAGGCTGTAAGGTAGCTACCTAAATTAGGCTGTATCACGGAATGGGTTAAGCAAAAGTTCACTTTGTGGTTATTGGAATACAAACACTTGAATCACGTGTCTTTTTATTTCCATCAGGGATGCAAAGTTACTGCCAGACAAGTAGTCAAGTTTGTAAAAAGATAAAGAACCAATCACAAATGAGGGGCTTTGTAAATTGAAAACTGATAAAAAGAAATGGACATAACTTATCTGACCATGGATTATTTTTATACTATTCTTTTAACAGAAGATTTGTTATGTTTATCATTTTCATTGTTTCTGGTATCCGTTAAGTCAAGGTTACAGTAAAAGGGTGAAAAAAGTGTGGAAATGTACAGTTAGGGTCAGTTACACAACACTAGGGGTATGCTACACTGCAAATTAAACACCCATAGCTGCCCAGTGTCAGATGACTTGAGCTTGCGGGACTTAAGCTTGCTGTTTAAGTGTGGTGTAGATGTTCGGGCTTGGACTGAAGCCCATGTTCTGGGATCCTTACCACTTGTGGGCTCCAAAAGCCTGGGGTCTAGCCCAAGTCCAAACATCTACACTGCAATTAAACAACCCTGTAGCTGAGTCCTGTGAGTTCGAGTCAGCTGATGTGGGCCAGCTGCAGGTGTTTAATTTGCAGTGTAGACATACTCTAACTCTCTTCCCCTTTAAGCCTTTGTACTTTGCATGTAAGGAGGAGACATTCTGATGGAAGTTTAAAGTGGAAAAAAAAAAAACTCATAAACTCTCAGCCTATGGCTGTTGGAAACTTAAATTTTTATGTGCATATTTTATCAGTAGAGAATTCCCAGTCTGGGTTTGATTCAAACTGGTGACCTAGAGATGAAAGGCTCCATTTCCTATTGTCCTCTTCTGAGTAATACAATTCACTCCACAAGACACATTATCTAATGTATAATGTTATTCTGGGAGGAGTGCAGAGGCAGTAGATAGTATAGTTTCAAATTGCCTGTTGTACATTCGCAACTGATAATGGCTAGGGAGCTGTCCAGTAAGAATTACTGACATTTCTGCTTTATTTTTACTTACAATTTTTTGACTGAAACAAGCTAATCGTCATAGCTAATATAAAAAGAAAAAGAGGTCTTGTGGCACCTTAGAGACTAACAAATTTATTTATGCAACCATCTGGTTCTATCACTGTTAACCTTATCTTCTCTTTGCCATTCCTTCCAGTTGTCTGTTACATCCACTGGATGCCTTTTGTTTATGTTGAAATTGTAAGCTCCTTAAGGCAGGGTCCATCTTCTAATGTTATTTGTTTAGCATCCCACCACAGTGGGAACTTAATTGGGACTTCTGGGAGCTACTAAAATGGAAACAAAAGCATATTTTCAAGAAGCCCTAATTATAGTTATAAAGGTTAAGAACCTCTCTCTCATCAAATGTCTTTGCAATGTATAATAAAGAATAGAAAAATAAAGAACAATCCTGACTCTTAAATTTAGTTAGGAAAAAATTGTGTAGGGGTGTGACAAAACATCCTCACATTCCTTTTTTAAACTTGACATGGGAGTGGCAGGCTCTAAACAGGTTTCAGAGTAGCAGCCGTGTTAGTCTGTATTTGCAAAAAGAAAAGGAGGACTTGTGGCACCTTAGCGACTAACACATTTATTTGGGCATAAGCTTTTGTGAGCTACAGCTCACTTCATGAGTCCAAAGTTAATCATAATATGTGAAAGAAATATCCTTTCCCTCTCTTTGTACATATTAATTTCCCTAGCACTCAAGTTGGCTTTATCCTTTACTAATTTACAAATCTTATTAAGAATAATGTTCTGGAAGACTGTTTCTGAATTCTTTTTCACATCATTTACAATGGATTAGCAGTAACAATATAAACAGTACGTTGGAAGGGAAAGTCTGAACGGAGAGTCATGAATCCTAAGCAGACGATGACCACAGACCAGGCTCAATTCTGCTTATACAATAGCTGACTCCTGCATGTATTACATCAATATGTGTCTTTATATCTGCAATCAGACCATCATATTCCCAGTGGGACTGTCCACTTAATATAAGAGCACTGCCAACCTACAGTATTGCCTTAAAGGGGTGGGAGGTGGAAAGCACATTCATGGAAATAATAATTGTAGTAAGAAGATCTAAACTAATAGATGGTGTTTCTCCACACTTCCCCCTTACATCTTTTTCTTTTTGTGCTCTCTTCAAAGTGTTAGATTGCTACGCAAAGCAACTCTATGCCCCTTCCATCTCCCCTGCTTTTTTGTGTCTTTAAATGGAAAGAATCATCTTGTTTTGTTTTCCAATTGTTGCAGGTGGAGTTGGAGGTCACGCTTCCAGGAGAAGGGAAGGACAGAATATTTAAGGTGGCTATAAAATGGATGTCCTGTGTGAGTCTGCAGGCTTTACATGATGCTCTTTCTGGTCGGCTGCCAAGTGTTCCTTTTGAAACTATCCAGGCTCTGGATGTAGTGATGAGGCATTTGCCTTCCATGAGGTGAGGGAAACACCTTGAAGGTCTTTATAAAATTATTTGAATTGTTTAAATGGTCATTCTAATTTAATGTGTATTTTCATGACAGCAGCAACTCTGTTTCTGTTGCAGCAGGTCTCTTCATGTGCAGGGAGCTAACTGGGAAAGTAGCAGTACCGCTGCTTTTGGACTGGCCTGGTCAACTTCTAGTCCCCAGTACCTAAGACTACAAGCCTGCTTCCCCATATTCTGTACAGAGAATATTCCCTTCCCCCCCCCCCCTTTCCTTGCATTTTTATATGTTGCTTTGGCTTGTGCAAAATTTAAAACTTCCCTTCCAGCAAGCTTTGAACCCAGAGCATTTGCAGTCATAGCAGTGCTATAAAGTCTTTTACCACACCACTGTCTGAATGTTCTTGCCTTATCACAGGTCCTTGGCCTGGAGGGGGCAGGAAAGGGATTGTGGAATGAGGAGAGGTCCAGGTCTGCCAGCACAATGGCACTGCTGATTTTTTGGCAGTCTCCCTATATGTGTATTTCAGAGGAACAGCCGTGTTAGTCTGTATTCACAAAAAGAAAAGGAGTACTTGTGGCACCTTAGAGACTAACCAATTTATTTGAGCATGAGCTTTCGTGAGCTACAGCTCACTTCATCAGATGTATACCGTGGAAACTGCTGCAGTTTCCATGGTATACATCTGATGAAGTGAGCTGTAGCTCACGAAAGCTCATGCTCAAATAAATTGGTTAGTGAGCTACAGCTCACTTCATCAGATGTATACCATGGAAACTGCAGCAGTTTCCACGGTATACATCTGATGAAGTGAGCTGTAGCTCATGAAAGCTCATGCTCAAATAAATTGGTTAGTCTCTAAGGTGCCACAAGTACTCCTTTTTCTTTTTCCTATATGTGTATGTTGCCAGGGGTTTTTTATTATTTATTTTATTTTGTGTTACCATAACACCTAGCAGCCCTAGTCATGGACCAGGGTCCCATTCTGCTAGGTGCTATACAAACAGAGAACAAAAAGATGGTCCCTTCCCTAAACAGCTTACAGCTAAGTATCAGATGAGCTAATGGATGCAGACTGAGGGAGTACAGTGAAATGATATGGGTCAGTGTGATAGGCAGTGGTACCAGTGCACCAGCAGCCCAACTGTTTGTCAAGTATTTTTTTTTTATGGGTATCATGGCAAAGGAGAGTTTTAAGGAGGATAATGAGGTAGCTTTGTGGATATTTACGAGGTGCTCCGCCCCAGCTTGAAGAGCAGTATGAAAGGAAGCACAAAGGTGCTTGTTTGAAAATATAACAAGTGTGGGGTGGAAGCTGGCAGGGATGGGGTGGAGCCATTGGGGCAAGTGGCTGGATTAGAGGATGAGAAACTTATTTTTTCTTCTTCAAGTAGTGTCCCTGTGAGTACTGCACTGGAGGTAAGTCTGTGCCTTTGATTGGAGATTTTTGGTAGTGGTGCCTATTCAGCTTGCGCATGTACCTCGCATATCCTCATGCCCCGTGCCAAGGCTATACGGGACTGTATGGGTGAACCACCCTCAGTTACCTTCTAGCATTTATTGTTGTTGAAACGGTTGTTCCCTTTTAAAAAAAATCATAAAATACAATTATTTTTTCATAGATCTAGTTAGTTAATAGTTTCCCCTTTTAGGAGTTACTTTTCAATATTTTACTTGGTAATGCCAGGCTCCCTGGGATTCAAGAGGTGCCTCTCCTACCATGAGACTATTCTGATCAGTGATCGACATTCCCAGTGCATCCACTGTTTGGGTGTTACTCGTATCCGCTGTAAGTGCAAGGTCTGCACTTCCTTCAAGGGTAGCTCTCAGTGGGTGGGAAATAGGGATATCAAGTTCAAACTAATGATTATGACCAGCTTTCGATACCGCCTGTACATAGACCTCCCAGTACCACTAGTGCCCTATCAAAATCAACATTTCTGTCACCAAAAACCATTAGAGATATAGATGGTACTGCGGCACCGAGTACATCTATGCTACCAAAGTCCTCATTGACCCCTGCTAAGCAGAAGGAGATAAGGAGTACACCTTCAAATCTTGGTCACCAATGCACGAGAAGGGTATAGAGATCTCGGATCCTAAGGGGAGTTCCATATGGGCTCTAAGTGATGCTGGTACCACAGAGGTGTAGAGGAGTTTGTCATCTAAGACAGGCTTGGTACCAAGTTTGGATACTCCTTCCCAGAATGGCAGAAAGAAAAGGAGTACTTGTGGCACCTTAGAGATTAACCAATTTATTTGAGCATAGGCTTTCGTGAGCTACAGCTCACTTCATCGGATGCATACTGTGGAAAGTGTAGATCTTTTTATACACACAAAGCATGAAAAAATACCTCCTCCCCCCCCCCCCACACACACACACTCTCCTGCTGGTAATAGCTTATCTAAAGTGACCACTCTCCTTACAATGTGTATGATAATCAAGGTGGGCCATTTCCAGCACAAATCCAGGGTTTAACAAGAACGTCTTGGGGGGAGGGGTAGGAAAAAACAAGGGGAAATAGGCTACCTTGCATAATAACTTAGCCACTCCCAGTCTCTATTCAAGCCTAAGTTAATTGTATCCAATTTGCAAATGAATTCCAATTCAACAGTCTCTCGCTGGAGTCTGGATTTGAAGTGTGGAATGTTGGTGTAGAGGGCTTCTACATCCATAGTGGCCAGGATGGTGGTCACTTTAGATAAGCTATTACCAGCAGGAGAGTGGGTTTGTGTGTTTGGGTGGGGGGGGGGGGGAGAAAACCTGAATTTGTGCTAGAAATGGCCCAACTTGATTATCATACACATTATAAGGAGAGTGATCACTTTAGATAAGCTATTACCAGCAGGAGAGTGGGGTGGGGGGAGGTATTTTTTTCATGCTTTGTGTGAATAAAAAGATCATCTACACTTTCCACAGTATGCATCCGATGAAGTGAGCTGTAGCTCACGAAAGCTTATGCTCAAATAAATTGGTTAGTCTCTAAGGTGCCACAAGTACTCCGTTTCTTTTTGCGAATACAGACTAACACGGCTGTTACTCTGAAACCTGTCAGAATGTCAGAAATGCTGTTGAGAAGAGTTCTAAGCCTGCTGCGGAACAACACTTGATACCGGTAACATGCAAACACCAAAACTGCTCAGCTACCTACAGTACTGATGAAATCTGAGCCGACTTACTTTCATGCCAAGCGCTTGGTACTAACTGCATTGGGACCAAAGCCGTCTTCCACAGGTTCTCACTTGCTCCCATTTTTGATACCATTGGTACCACAAGAATTAAGGTACCCCAAGGAGAGTATTTTAGATAAAAATTTTGGACTAGCCTATAGCAACACTTTCTGGTGAATACTGTAAAAGTCGGGGTTTGCCATTAAAGCCCCAAATTCTCCAACCCTTTGGGCAGAAATTATGGCTACCAGAAAGGCTGTCTCATTTATAAATCCAATAAAGAACACCTAGCTAGAGTCTCAAAAGGGTGTTTCAAAGGGTTGGAGAATTGGGGACTTTAATGGCAAACCCCCCACTTTTACAGTATTCACCAGAGAGAAAGTGTTGCTATAGGCTCGTCCAAAATTTTTATCTAAAATGCTCTCAGAATTTCATATTAATCAAACCATTAATCTCCTGGTTTTTTTCCTGAGAACCACAATGGGCTAGTCAAGAAGCCATATTCCATAGATGTCAGGAGGGTATTAGCCTTTTACCTAGATAGAAAGAAACAAACCATTTAGAAAATCTCCCAGACCATTGGTATCTCTTGCAGACGGAAAGAAGTGTTCAGTAAATTTGAAACAGAGTTTATCTAAGTGGATCTCCAGTTGTATTAAGATCTGATGTTCAGTCCCCTTTGAGTGATCGCACATTCCACACAAGCACTATATACTTCTATAGCATTACTTAAGGATATGCCGGTTGCAGATGTCTGTAGAGTGGCACCTTGGTCCTCTGTTCATACTTCGTGTAATCATTAAGCCTTGGTGCTGTTTGCTCTGTAACCACATAAAAATGTTTGCTCTAAAATGTAGACCCTCCCCCAGTCAGGAGGGAAGCATTGCCAAGTGTGAAATACTAGTTTACCCCAAGAGATGTCGTCTCCTTGCCAATAAAAGGCCGATAGACACCAGACAAGCCATTGTGGAATATCAGTGGACAGACAATTTGTTGTTTGCTCCCTCCATACCCAAGTAGAGGAGATGTGCAGAAAGATTTGTCCCATCAGCTTGAGCTCTGGCGGAAGGGAATAAAAATCCCCATCAAGAAGAAATTGTTATCCCTGTGCTGTGTGGACTTCAAGGAGGGGGCAAGACTTCTAAGCATAAGTGAGGGATCCCCAGCTGTGTAGCTTGGGTTAGCTCTAAAGGACCTATGGAACTTGCACATTACAACAGCTATTACTTTTTGAAACCTAAGACGATAACTCATTTGTTTGTATGTTTACCTGCTTTAATCTTGTAAATAACTCCTCATTTCTTTTCTTAGTCAATAAATCTTTAGATCATTTATTATAGGATTGGCTTCAAGCGTTGTTTTTGGTGAGAGATCTCAGATACAACTGACCTGGAGTAAATGACTGGTTCTTTGGGATAACCTGAATATTGTTGTGATTTTTTTGGTCTAAGGGACCATCTGTCACAAAGGCAGGTTTGCTTGGGTGGCAAGATAGATCAGAGGACCTAGGGGACTGTCCAGGACTCCATGTTAAGGTAGTTAAAGTGCTTTAGGAGTTTACACTTGATACTTTATTTGTGAATTCTACACTTAGATTTCACGATCAGTTTGGGGTTTGTGGTGGTGTTTGTAATAGTCTGCCCTGAGGCTGGTACTCATGTTCATGTTCCACTTCAGACAGCATGACAAGTGAAATGAACGGCTCTTTTGGTGAGTGGAGAATTGAAGAAGAGGTGAAGGCAACGAAACTAGAGCTAAGGGGTTGGATGGGTCATCAGCCTGGAAAATGAAGTCACTGAGGATGAGTGTGGGATAGTGTGAAGACAGGAAGAGAGAGAGT